CATGGAGCAAAAGGACAGGCCTCAGCCCAAGCTCAGCCAGCAGAACCCAGGGAGCAAAATAATGGCTGAGATCTGTCCCTGGTGACCACGGGGCCCACAGCCTCCACTGACCAACCAGCACAGGCCTCTACCCCCAGAGGCAAGAGAAATTCACTCTGCACACCTCCAGAGGCAAGAGAAACTCACCCTTCACATCTCCAGAAAGGAAAATACCCTTTTGGACTACTGGGTCATGGAATATCCATCCTTCGAAGCTGTAGCCAAGATTGACACAATGAGATACAGAGAGGGTCCCTCTCACCAGCCATAACTCAACTCACCCAAAGCATGGTGGGGATGCATCCCTGTGACAGAGTCCTGGGGCAGCCCAGCCTCCCGCTGTGAAGGGCAGGGTCAGATGAAGCTGGGAGAGGACAGGGGGACCAACTGTGCACCCGAACCTACAGCCATGGGCATGACAGGACGGAGGCCCCAGAGTCATGCTTGCCCAACCTACAGTGTATGTTTGATTGTGTCTGTGTTTCTTTGTGTGTGTGTGTATGTGTGTGTGCACGCGCACTTGTCTGTGCATCGTATGTGTAGAGGTTGAGTGTGAGAATCACTGCTAAAGAGGCAAAGGTCTCAGCAATTCCCAGGACCCCTTCGTGTTACCTTACACTAAAATTAACTCCAGATGGGTTAGAGATTTAAACATAAAACCTAACGTCATAAAAACAGTAGAAGGAAATGTAGGCAAAACCACCCAGGACACAGGCACAGGCAAGGCCTTCATGACTAAAACACCGAAAGCAATGGCAACAAAAGCCAAAATAGACAAATGGGATCTAATTAAAATTCAGAGCTTCCGTACAGCAAAAGAAACTATCACTAAAGTGAACCAGCAACCAACAGAATGGGAAAAAATGTTTGCAATCTACCCATCTGACAAAGGGCTCATATCCAGAATCTGCAAAGAACTAAAACGGATTTACAAGAAAAAAGCAACCCACTGAAAAGTGGGTGAAGCTTAACAGTGTCAGATATGGCATGTCAACCTGAAGGTTTTTTGTTTGTTTGTTTGTTTTTTTGAGATGGAGTCTCACCAATGTCACCTAGGCTGGAGTGCAGTGGCACGATCTCAGCTCACTGCAACCTCCACCTCCCAGGTTCAACCTCCTGCCTCCACCTCCTGAGTAGCTGGGATTACAGGCACCCGCCACCAGTAATCTCAGCTGGCCAATTTTGGTATTTTTAATAGAGACGGGGGTTTCACTATGTGAAAGTTTCACTATGTGAGTTTGAGGCCAGGCTGGTCTCAAACTCCTGACCTTGTGATCTGCCCACCTCGGCCTCCCAAAGTGCTGGGATTACAGGCATGAGCCACCACTTCCTGCCTCAACCTAAAATGTTTACATAAGAGATCGGTTAGTCCGCCCAGTGGCTGACATGAGCAGCATCTTTAACACGACTGTTTGTGCCAATGCACTGTTGTTCCTTTTAGAGTTCCCCTTCCAGACTCCCCTGCGGTCAGTCCTCGTTTTAATTTAACCCAGCCATCCAATGCTCCTTAATGAAGTTACTCCTTACTACCCAAACAGAAAGGAGCCTGCGCAGTTTCCGGCACCGAGTGTTGCCTGTAAATAAATACATCGAGTATTATAAAGACTCAGTTGCAAATTTAACAAACATGCTACTTGGTTAAGACGGATGGACTCTCCTGGCTCTTTCTTTGATCTCTTCTACTTTTGTCCGTTTGTATCTCGACTAAGGTGCATACTCCAACCTTTTGGTATTTTTCTTCTGATGGTCATACTAGTAGCCTCCCCGGTGTGACACATTTTACAAAAATTTTCAAATGTTCATGTGCAGCCATCATAAACCACCAAAGGGTCTCTCTTTGGCTGAAATTACAAAATCTCAGAGAAATGTGTGATCAGAAAGACATCATAACCTATGAATAATGGAAGCCTGAAATGGTGGTTAATGAGAGTAATGCTAACACTTTAAGTTTCTCTCACACCCTGAGAGCAGCATAGCGACTCCAAAATAGTTCCACTCATGCTAAATGTGACACACTCCAACTGAAATTATTATTATTTTTTTTTGAGATGGAGTCTCACTGTCACCAGGCTGGAGTGCAGTGGTGTGATCTTGGCTCACTGCAACCTCCGCCTCCCGGGTTCAAGCGATTCTGCTGCCTCAGCCTCCCAAGTAGCAGCTGGGGCAACAGGCTACATGGTGTGCCACCACGCCCAGCTAACTTTTTTTCCCTGAAAAAAAAAAAAAAAAAAAAACCAGGATATATTCGTCTTACCTGAGGCAGCATAATTTAAAAAAGTAACCTCTGCTTTAACTTTTACAGAAAAGGGACCAGAAGTCCCCTAAAGTTAACAAATCAATTTATTTCTAAGGCTTCGTTAACTGGTTCTTACTTGACAAAGCCCATTGTTCTGCTATTGCACTGCCCAGGGGAGTAGAGGGAAAGCGGTCTCAAACCGTGAACTACAAATAAAATATTTAACTGCATTAGTTGTAATTTTGTCTTTTGATGCAGGTTCACAGCAAGCAATGGCCAGTGGAGTCTATCGGGCTGCATCAGTCTCATTCTGACCCCCCTTCCTTCCTTTTCCACTTACAAGTACCTTATGATTCACTGTCCCCACCCGGGTAACGCAGAATAACCTCCCATCTCAAGATCCTTACCTTTATCACCTCTGCACAGGGATTTTTCAGAAAACAATGCACGAGTTCCAGGAGTTAGGATTTAGATATTTTAGGAGGCCATTATTCTGCCGTACACAGGTAACGTTCCTAAGTGTCACCCACGACAAAACCTTGCTTCCCTTTCTTCTGTGTCTCCCCTTCCTGTGTGCAAACATCAAGGTGAAACACGCTAGGTCTACTCCGAAGTGGCTGGATGACCCGGGACCACTGATTTGACCTCCCTCAGCCTCTTTTCTCATCTGCAGCACAAGGGTGACTCTTACCGCATCAGAAAATGACAGCGGACGATTAAGTTAAAATGTGTGAGACCTTAGTCACCGAGCCTGGTACCTGATGAGCCCTGGTAAACATTCCTTTCACCATCCCACGTCTCTGGCCGTCACCATCTTCTCCTTTGGCTCCTTTATCTTCAGAACCTTACTCAGTCTTACCTGCCATTTAGCCAAAAAGTCACCCTCCCCATTCTCTCATGACTCTGCTGGAATGTTCTTGCGATGGAGTCTAGCTATCCACCCAAGGCAGCGGATATTATTTATAGGAAGAGGTCTGTTTTAAAAAAGTCCTTTTGATGTTCACATAAAATTTACACATGCTTCCTCTTTTTTTTTTTTTTAGACAGAGTTTCGCTCGTTACCCCGGCTGGAGTGCAATGGCGCAATCTTGGCTCACGGCAACCTCCACCTCCTGGGTCCAGGCAATTGTCCTGCCTCAGCCTCCTGAGTAGCTGCGATTACAGGCACGCGCCACCAGGCCCAGCTAATTTTTTGTATTTTTAGTAGAGACGGTGTTTCACCATGTTGACCAGGATGGTCTCGGTCTCTTGACCTCGTGATCCATCCGCCTCGGCCTCCCAAAGTGCTGGGATTACAGGCGTGAGCCACCGCGCTCGGCCTTCACATGCTTCCTCTTAATTTACACACACCAATCCCAATTCTGCCCTGTTAATTCAGACACACACTTTCTTATTTCACACTTCGTCATTCTTTCTGTTAACACCTTACAAATTAGGATAGTACACGGACGAAAATAATGGCCTGAGCCACAAGAGGGGATTCCATTAGCAAAATGAATGCTTTCCTTTAAGAAGAAGATGGATGCTTCAGTTTGGTGGGATGAATGCTGTGTGCAAGGCAGCTCTAAAGCCCATTTCTAGGCTTGGCTTACATCAAAGCCATCGGACTCTAGGACACACTGTTAGATACCCAGGAGACTAGTTGTCACAGAAGCCACACCTACTCTGTGCATTCTAGCTGTGAAGTAAAGGTATTGTCACAGAATATTATGCATCCCAATCATTTCACTCCTGGGAATTAAGCTTCCCCCAACCAGCTTCATCTCCAGTAGACCTACCAGGGCCCTTGCTGAAAAATACCTTCCTACCCAGGGGAGCAAATACACTGGGGTCTGTTATGGGGGGCCAAGGGAGGGACATCACGGGGATGGGGAGTTCGGGGAGGGATAACATGGGGAGAAATGCCAGATGTGGGTGACGGGGGGATGGAGGCAGCAAACCACATTGCCATGTGTGTACCTATGCAACAATCCTGCATGATCTGCACATGTACCCCAGAACCTAAAGTACAATTAAAAAAAAAAAAAAAGGAAAGAAAAGTACCTCCCTACCCAGGATGCCCAGGGTGGCACTTTTGCCTATTCCCATAATTATAATATCTCACACTGATGCAGCACTCACTATGCACCAGGCACAATCCCTAAGAGCTTTCCAGCTAGCTACAGTCCCCACAAAAAGTCTTGAGTGTCACCATTCTCATATTTACAGATTAAAAAAAAAAATGAGGCAGACAAGTGAAGTACCTAGTACAATCCAACTCCATAATTCAACCTCACCCATCACTCCGTTTGAAAAGAGGACACCTAAAAATTTCTGAGGCCTCCTAATGGACACCTGCTTCCAGATGATTTTTTGCCCTATGTTCGCAATTTGACAAATGGCCAGCATTTTGTTTTCTGTCTTACCCTTTACTTATATATCTGCTCCTTAATCCCACACTCATAACTGCACAGGCAGGCATAAAAGCTGGCTTTTTTTTTTGAGATGGAGTCTTGCTTTGTCTCCAGGCTGGAGTGCAGTGGCACAATCTTGGCTCACTGTAACCTCTGACTCCCTGGTTCAAACAATTCTCCTGCCTCAGCCTCCTGAGTAGCCACCATGCCCAGCTAATCTTTGTATTTTGAGTACAGATGAGGTTTCACCATGTTGGCCAGGATGGTCTCGATCTCCTGACTTTGTGATCCGCCTGCCACTGGAATTACAGGTGTGAGCCACTGCGCCCAGCCAAAAGCTGGCTTTTATAAACCTCTTTTGGGATAAAGCAGCCAGATCAAGAGTCTCACAAAAAAGTCATTTTCACTCAATTGTCAACTATGTGTATGGCCATTATTTGGCCATAAATGGGTGCACTAGGGACAAAAGTTGTCATGAGAAGAAGGTAGGAGGAGGGTTACTTCCTAGATGGTCACAAAGAGAAGGAGATTCCAAATCCAGAAAAAGTCATAAAATGCAGAGTGGATGGGCTTTGAGCGATGACAGCCCCATCTGCCTCTTTCCATGACTGTTGACCTCTGACTTTCTTTTCAACCTGACCCTCCTGGTCTGGCTTTCTTAGACCAATGCTAACAACCTGGGAGCTAGGGTCAGACCGGAGCACACAGCACTGAGTGGTGGGAGTGGAAAAGGAAGGAAAAAGAGAACAGTGGTTGGCTCATCAAGTGAGTGACTCACCAAGGTACACATCTCCTTGGCAAAAAAAAGAGGATGGTTATGCAGGATCTGTGGTGGTTATCCAAAATGAGTGGCTCAGGCAAGGATCTTGACCAACTGACATTTATTGAGCCAGAGCTCAAGGTTGCACTCTGGGAAAACGTAAGTCACAGAAAACCTCTGTGGCTCGTGTTCTCTCTGAAGAGGATTCAGGGGCTCAGTATTCATATATTTCCTTACAAGGGAAAAGGCAGGTCAGAAATATAGGGTCTTTGTTCTATACTTCAGAAGACAAATATCTGAATGAAACTTAAAAGGTTTTAGTTTTAGAAGCTAAATTTTGATTGGATACCTGCATTTACAATTGGCATGTCCTTCTTTTATGGAACGATACACATCTTGAAAGGTTTTGAGGCCAGCGAAGGAAAATTTGTTTGGGCAGTTTTCTAAAGATGCCTGAGACCTTTTGCTGCTTACCCCTGTTCTCTTTCTCTCTTTCTGTCTTTCTCTCTCTTTCTCTTTCTTTCTGACACAGTTTTCTTGTTCTGTCACCCAGGCTGAGTATAATAGCATGATCACAGCTAACTTCAGCCTTGAACTTTTGGACTGAAGCAGTCCTCCCACCTCAACCTCCCACATACCTGAGACTACAGGCATGCCACACTGCACTTGGATCATTTATTTTATTTTTTGTAGAGATGTGGTCTCCATTGTTGGTCAGGCTGGTCTTGCAATTCTGGATTCAAGCAATCCTTCTGCCTTGGCCTCTCAAAGTGCTGGAATTCTACAGAAGACTTCAGAGAAAGTACTGTAGAAGACATGACTTTGTGGCTGTATGTTTCACCTGATCCTCTGTCACTAGGGAGGCTCATTTCTAGGAAGTCATATCCCAGGGGAAAAGGGGTGAAGTCACATCAGATAAAACCAAGCCAGATTGAAGCAACAAAAGGAGAGTACACTGATGCAACATAATTATATGTTCCACGAAGCATGCTGACTCACCTTTAATGTCTGGAGAGGTCTGCAGATTCATCTTTCGAGAGTCTCTGAAGCATCTTCCAATTGCAGTGGCAATCTGACAGGTTTCTCTAAGTTATACTCTGAATCCAGTGTTCATAAAGCAGTGTTCGTAAACACCTGTTATGTAGTCCATACATCAGCAGGCACAGAGGTTGTTATATATAAGTTGCTATGATTTCTCCAAAAGTTTATGTAAGTTGTCTAGTTTCAGTTTGCAGGGGCTTTAAGAGAAGCACAATTTGAATACTCCAAAATAAAAAAGAATTCTGAAACCATTAGTTTTGATGCTTGTAGCCAGAAAAGAATTTAGAATTATGTCCAAACTGTAGGCAAATAATGAAACTCATAAACAATGAACAAGCCTAGAATATAATAACTGTCGTACAGTGGTTTTTTCTGTGACACAATTTTCTCTCTCTCTTGTCTCCCATTCTTACAAAAGACAAGTAGAATCAGGCCCACTGTGTTGGCAAAATACGTTTTATATTATACTTGGCCTAATGATTTGCATAAACTGCAGCAAGAAAAGTGGTTGATATAGAGAATCTTTTAAAATTGGCTTTGCTGGAAGTTTGTTCATAAGAAATCTTAGATTAGATCTGCAAAAGCCTCTCAGGGCTATGAAAGCCAAGGATTTATCAGTGCCTGTGGACACCTGTATAAAGAGGGTGAATTCCTCTTTTCATGAGGTCTCAAGATAACATTGGGTTTCTGGGCCTATCAGCAAGTCACATTCTTTACTTACCACAGATCATGAACTTTTAAATAAAATGCATGGACATTTCTGAGCAGTCTTTCCAAGGGACTTTTTATCAGCTCTATTAAGCCAGTATCAACCCTCAAATCATTCTGGGCCTATCTGAAAATATACCATTCCAGTCAAAGCCCTGGCAAAATAAGCAGTATCTCCAATTGTGTCCTGTTATAAAAGAAAATAGATCCTTATGAAAGTGATGAAAATAACTATAGTGACGTAAATTAAGAATACCCACTAATGGTTTCTTATTTTTAGAGAAATTGGGGATAGAGAAAGACAAATCTTTCCAATTTTGCTCACAAAATTACCCAATATGTTGTAAGCTAAGAGGTTTCCAAAAATAAGCTGTTTTGACTCTGAAGAATGAAACATAAAAAGTCAAACATCTTTTTAAATATCATGAAAAATTATTTTAGTCCTTTAACAGTTTAGCTCCATGTAAGTAACTCTTGTTGCGCTTGATGTTGGGTAGCAATCCTCATGAATACATTTGTTTTTAGCTAGAGTCCTGGTTTTGTTGTTGTTGTTGTTTGTTCCAATAGTGTGATATCCAAAGTTATTTAAAACCATTTTTATATATTTATTTATTTTATTTTATGTATTTATTTGAGATAGTCTCCTCTGTCACCTAGGCTGGAGTGCAGTGGCACAGTCTTGGCTCACTGCAACCTCCAATTCCTGGGTTCAAGCAATTCTCCTGTCTCAGCCTCCTGAGTAGCTGGGACAACAGGCATGTGCCACTGCTCTTGGTGACTTTTTTGTATTTTTAGTAGAGATGAGGTTTCACCGTGTTGAGCAGGCTGGTTTTGACCTTCTGATCTTAAGTGATCCACCCATGTTGGCCTCCCAAAGTGCTGGGATTACAAGTATAAGCCACTGAACCTGCCCAAAATCCAATATTAAGAATTACTTGAGAGTCTTTTAAGAGTCTACTCCACAAATTTCCTTAAAGCAGAAACTAATTTTTCACTGTACTTAAACTGTTTTGTGAGAATCAAAATGAAACAATAGTTGTCTGTAGATTAAAACAATAACTCTAAGAATACCCACGGTTAAAGATTCAATTGCAATTGAAATTAGATTTATGTGACATACAAGATTTTCACCAATCAATTATTATTAATAACATATAATAAGACATATCAGAATTTTGGAAATTTTATAAAATTTTGGACACATGTTAGCAACATTTTATATTTACACAAATATAATCCAAAGAAACGTAAAAACAATTTTATATTATACTATGCTTAACCTACCAAAAGAGTGTAATGTGTCTTTTTGGGCCATTCAAAGGCCCTAATATTCCAATAATTAGGGTAAAATCAAAAATACTGATTTCAAAATTTGAAATTTTGACTTTAGAAATACCATATATCAAAGGTTTAAGACACTTGATTAAAATAGTATCCTAGGTAACTGTAAAATAATAGTCATTCACTTAGCCAAAATGATCATTCCATAATTTTAAAAAGTAAAAACTTAATTTTTTTGAAAAAACTTTTGAGACTCAGTTTCCCAATCATAACACCTAATAAAGAAACCATGAGCCACCTGAACCTCTCTTTCCTATTTTTTCTCAAAAAATAAACAAAAATACTTTATTATTTTCTACTAATACTATATACCACTCTTGTTAAAAAAAAAAAGTTACCTTTGCTTTAGTGTATTATTAATGCTAAAGTTAATTTTAATAAAACCTTTTAAGCAAATCCATTTAATCTTAATCAGTTTGAACCACAAGGTCAAATTTTTGTGATATTTTATTTAAGCTTTTATAATTTATTTTTCTTTTCTTTTGGCAACTTTCTATATTCATTCAGTTTTAGCCATTATTATTTTAGTAACTTTCATTTTTGAGACAGGGTCTCACTCTGTCACCCAAGATGGAGTGCAGTGGCACAATCACAGCTCACTGCAGCCTCAACCACTCAGGCTCATATGATTCTCCTACCTCAGCCTCCTGTGATGCTGGGACTACAGGTGGGCTACCACTCCTAGCTTTTAAAATTTTTTGTAGAAATGTGGTCTGTGTTTCTCAGCCTGGTCTCAAACCCCTAGGCTCAAGTGGTCCTCTCATTTTGGCTCTTCAAAGTGTGAAATGACAGGTGTGAATCACTTGCCTGGCCTCATCATTTCTTTATTCTTTCGATTCAGAAACAATCATATGAAGCCTCTAATTTTGAAAAAGTTACTTTCCCTTTAACAAATACATTTCCATGCCTCCTGGTACCTTTTTTTTTTTTTGAGACAGAGTTTCGCTCTTGTTACCCAGGCTGGAGTGCAATGGCACGATCTTGGCTCACCACAACCTCCGCCTCCTGGGTTCAGGCAATTCTCCTGCCTCAGCTTCCTGAGTAGCTGGGATTAGAGGCACACACCACCATGCCCAGCTCATTTTTTTGTATTTTTAGTGGAGACGGGGTTTCACCATGTTGACCAGGATGGTCTCGATCTCTTGACCTTGTCATCCACCCGCCTCGGCTTCCCAAAGTGCTGGGATTACAGGCATGAGCCACCGCGCCCGGCCTCTTTTTTTTTTTTTTTTTTTTTTTTAACCAAAAACACATTCTAATTTTCTTACATACTTTGCATGTAAAGTTGTTTCTCTGATACCTAGGAGTTTTAATCACATACATTAATTACATTGTTAACTCTTAGTAACCTGTTGATATGGTTTGAATCTCTTCCACCCAAATTTCATGTCCATTTGTAATCTCCATTGTTAGAGGTAGAGCCGGGTCTATTATAAGGACACATGCACACAAATGTTCATTGAAGCACTGTTTACAATAGCAAAGACTTGGAACCAACCCAAATGCCCATCGATGATAGACTGGGCAGGGAAAATGTGGCACATATACACCATGGAATACTATGCAGCCATAAAAAAACGAGTTTCTGTCCTTTGTAGGGACACAGATAAACCTGGAAACCATCATTCTCAGCAAACTGACACAAGAACAGAAAATCAAACACTGCATGTTCTCACTCACAGGCGGGTGTTCAACAATGAGAACACATGGACACAGGGAGGGGAGCATCACACACTGGGGTCTGTGGGGGGCAACTAGGGGAGGGACCGAAGGGAGTGGGGAGTTGGGGAGGGATAACATGGGGAGAAATGCCAGATATAGGTGATGGGGAGGAAGGCAATAAACCACACTGCCGTATGTGTACCTATGCAACAATCTTGCGTGTTCTTCACATGTACCCCAAAACCTAAAATGCAATAAAATATATATATATTTTTAAAAGTCATGAAAGCTGAAATTATAGTAGAGTCCATTTTAAATGCTTATTGTGTGGATGGCTCTCACCATTTCCTAAAAGATACATTGTAAAACGTGACAGTAATAGCGGTTCTAGCAGAATAAAACATGTACCACATTTGCTAATACTGTTTTCTTAAAATAATTTTATAGGAATGGGGTGGGTGCCCTCCCACGTGTCCAGGCCATATCTCTGAACAGAATCCTCCATCTGCAGTAAGATCCTCCATCTTAATGCCTAAGAAGATGACACGGACTTGGCCCTGATATGCAGCCATCCCTGTATAAATTTCCGCTGTGGGCCACCTGCGGACCCAGAGAGCAGCTGCGCGGTCCTCGGGGGCTGCACTGCGCTTGCCACTTTTTGTCTGCGCCATTTTTCGCTTTTCGTTTCTGCCGCTCACTTCCCCCGCTACCAGGGGGCTGCTGCCTGCTGGGCAAACTTTTTTGTGTGCCCCTCCCCAGCAGGTTAACTGCTGCACCTTGAGCCTAGCTGTCTGTCACCATCGCTCCCTGCAGGCTGAGTTTCCGGGAGCATTTGCCAGCTCTGGGTTTGTGAGCTTCCTTGCTGCCAAGGCTTTCCTTCTGCCTACCTCTGGCTTGGCTGGCTTTGGTCTTTAATACTTTTTCTTACCCTTTTATGCACCTGATTGCCTTGTCAATCATGTATTACTGGGCAGGCTAAGAACTCCCTTCCTTTCTTCCTTTCTTCCTTTCTTTCTTTCTTTCCTTTCTTTTTCTTTCTTTCTCTCTCTCTCTCTCTCTCTCTTTCTTTCTTTCTTTTTCTTCCTCCTTTCCTTTCCTTCTTCCTTCCTTCTTTCTTTCTTTCTTTCTTCTTTCTTTCTTTCCTCTCACTTTCTTTTCTTCCTCCTTTCCTTTCCTTCTTCCTTCCTCCTTTCCTTTCCTTCTTCCTTCCTTCTTTTCTTTCTCTCTCTTTCTTTCTTTTCTTTTCTTTTCTTTCATTTTTGAGACAAAGTTTCGCTCTTGTTGTCCAGGCTGAAGTGCCAAGGCATGATTTTGGCTCACTGCAACTTACACCTCCTGGGTTCAACCAATTCTACTAACTCAGCCTCCCAAGTAGCTGGGATTACACGCATGTGCCACCACGCCCAGCTATTTGTATTTTTAGTAGAGACAGGGTTTCTGCATGTTGGTCAGGCTGGTCTCAAACTCCCGACCTCAGGTGATCCGCCCACCTTAGGCTCCCAAAGTGCTGGGATTACAGGCATGAGCCACTGTGCCCTTTCTAATACTGTTGCCTATCTATTGGAGTAGGGGTCTCAAGCAGAACCCCTGTTTCCTCTTTGTTATTTTGACCCAGTGATAATGTTACTGGGACCGTTCGCCCTGTGCATGATGCTAAGATTTCTCCCCACCTGTTCCCAGAGCTTTACATCTAGCATATTTTCTGCCAGGAACCATGGGCTGTGGGAAACAACAGTTTGCGTTAGGCCCCTTAATTGAGCCTGCGAAACCGAGGTTCCCCTAGCCTTGAGCAGTTGGTTGTTTCAATACTTCTATATACTGTTTCTGTTGAGCTGGTAAGTGTTGTCCCATGATGAAACCTCAGCCTGAACAATCCCCCACCCCTGATCTTGGTAATCCCCAGCAGGTACCAATGACTTACTAACTCACTGATTTACTGACTTGACCGTGCAGTCCTCTTAATCTTCATTTCGCGGGGTCCGGCATGCTATCTTTGCAGCGACGGTGACATGGGTACCACTGTTGGGGTCACCACCTGCAGGGGTCTGTCCTGCAGACACTGACAAAATGATGGGTGAGTAAAGTACACTGACACACAGATATTATGCTTTGCCAGTTTGACTGAGTGTCCGTGGCCACACAGAGGAGAGTGCTGTAAAGAGATAGCAGCGCTGACACACTGGCCATGCCAGTCTTTATTGAGCACATATTAAATGACAAAAACTGAGTCAACACCACGAGAGGTTAAAGATTAAAGATAAGTTCCAATGCCCAAAGCAAACACCATTAGTGGGTAATATCCATGATCGACCTCCCCCACCGAGAGGGCCATCTGGAATGATCAAAGGTTAACTGTGTAGGACCACATGAGTAAACAAGCTAGTCAGGTAAACTCCTCACATTCCTCTTTTTCTACTCTAATTTATGTAAGGGGAGAAGGCTGCATTCAGCCAAGAACTACAGAAAAAAACCCTTTGGCCTTTCAAAAGGGTTCAAGACTATTCTGTGATTTTCCCTAATATATCTCCCTTAATATTTTGCCACTACCCTGACTGAATCCCCAACATGGTGATACAACCACAATGTGAAAGTCTAAGTGTTTTTACTACTTACAGACACTGGGGAGCACTCAGCACACCTGGAGACCACAGACACAGAGGTCAGTGAGCCCAGTCAGGGAGGAGAGAAGGGACCTGTAGCCAACGGCTTTATTAAGTCCAGGGTGTTATCTGACAGGTTTCCAGCAGGGAGCATTAATGGATGTGTTTAAAGCAAGCAACACTAGGACCAGGAGATCACACTGTGACTGAGAGGTGCTCACTTCATTTATTTATTTTATTATTCTTGCTATTATGATTTTTTGAGACGGAGTTTTGCTCTTGTTGCCCAGGCTGGAATGCAATGGCACAATCTCAACTCACCACAACTTCCACCTCCCGGGTTCAAGCAATTCTCCTACCTCAGCCCCCAGGGTAGCTGGGATTACACGTGTGCACTGAGGTGGTCACTTTAAATTTGAGGGCAAATGTCAGAACTGTCAGTGTAAAGAAAGCAGCTGGAGAGAGAGGAGCCCAGCATACCAAGCATGAGAGATGCCTCTAAGATTTTCTCTCTGGCCACCAACTGGAGCCACTTGACCCAGGTACAGTATTAGAAACAGCCATGGTGACCAAGCCCTGCCTCTGATGTGAGGCACGTAAACCTACACCCTAAAAAATAAATGCTAAGGCAATACAACATTATGAGCACTCAAGATACCCACGGACACCAGCAGGGTGCAGTGCTGTGCCCTGGAGTAGGATCCTGGGTTCTGGCCTCTGGGAATGAGAAATGAAAATGACTTGTCCCTGCTCCCCTGACATTGATCTTCCTGCCCTGATGCTCCCTCTTCTGCTCCTAAACCCATGTGCAGTCTCAGCCCCAGATGTCACTGCCCCCAGGGTATCCACAGTGCTGCCTACTGCACACAAACACAAACTCACAGGAGGTGACAAAAATCTGCGTTTGGGACACTTGGTTGATTGTGAAAGAGGAAGAACAGTAAACTTACAGCTACGGAGACTGAGACTCACGGGACTGGAAGGTGATGGAGCTGTCACATGACATATGTGTGACCTCATGTGGAACGTGCAGATCCACGTGGAATAAAACACACAGGCTGGCCTGGGAATGCTGCTGTCCACACTTCCCTTCCTGTCCACCAGAAGGCAGAAGAGTCCCTCCTGGCTTGGAACCTCCCTGGGGGTTGCTGACCTCTCAGGGCCCAGAGCCCAGCATGGTCCACCCGCATGGTCCCCCAGGGTCACCTTGGCTCACATCCTCCCACATTCTCTTCGCTCTCTGAGATCCCCACAGGGACTCTGTCAGCTCCTCCCTACTGATGGCCGCTCCCTCTACAAACAGTTCCTTCCCCCATATTCTTTCCTTCCTTGGATCTGAGCCAATAGGACATCTCCCAGGGCCGTGCTTGTGCACATGAAGCCACACTGGGCACTTTCCCTTCATGAACTCCTTCCATCCTCATCAACTCTTTCTGTCACTGCTCTCTAAGTGCCCACCCACACTCCATCTGTCCCATTCTCTGGGGCATCCCAGGCCAAGCCTAGCACGGACACAGAACACTGGCTGCCTGGGGTCCCACAGAGTCCCTGGGAATCAGCCAGACACCCTGTGACCTGCCCGCTGCACCCCAGGAGGCACAGAGTGCATGTGACGATCACGCACGGGCACCATCTGGGATGTGGCCGCCTACCCCTGGCTGTCCCTCGTGAAGTCAGGAGGGAAAACCGACCTCTCCTGTGTGCATAGCGGGGAAACAGAGGGTATTAGTTCTCTTTGCTCCTAGAAACAACCCATCCCCACTCACCCTCTCAGGTGTGAGCAACGTCCCTCCAGACAGACCTTCTGGCCACTGCCTTTTCTTCCCCTAGAGAGAGCAGCTTGGCCAGGTCATAACCCTCAGAACAGACCCCTGAGTATGTCAGCACATGGAGGGCTGAGCCCATCATGGCCACGCAGTAAGTCGGGATGAATCTCTCCAGTTCTGAGCCCCTGCTCTGTCCCAGGCTTCCCCTCTTGAGTGTTAACGAGCCATGTCCTACAGGATTCCTGGGTAACTCCCCGCTTCCTGCTGAGACCTCGATCATGTCGGGGTCACCACCACCTGCAGAGGTCTGTCCTGCAGACCTTGACTCAGCAACGGATGAATAAATGCACTCTCACACCCATTACAGTGATTCCAGTGGGCTAGGGCTGGTCATCGGCTGCTTTCAGACGGCAGCTGCAGCCAACTGACCAAGACTCCCTCTCCATCCTCACATGTAAAATGTATTCAGGATACATTTTAGAACAGAGGTTCTAAGTCAACATGCTTGTGGATAATTAACATGGTTAAAAGAGTGGTTTTACAAATGATAAAACCTTTAGGTTCTGGGCTCAGAGTAAACACTATTAATGGGTAATTCCCCTTTGACCTCCCCTGAGAGGCTCATCCTGCAGACAGGTTACATGATCAAACAAATCAGAGTAGAGACAAAGGGATGTGGGGTAAACAGACAGCTGGGGAAATTTATTGCTCTATCTTTTACCCCATGATAAAATTCCAACGTCATGAACTGGCTGCCTTCAGGCTGTTCCATCGAAACCTTTAGGCCTTCCAGAAGGTTTGAGACTCTATTCTAACTTTCCCTTATATTTCCCTAATATTTTGCCAGCCACCCTGAGTCAACCCCAACATCCTGCTGCACCACCACGGGAAAGGTGCGGGGACCACAGCACAATCAGCCGGGCAGAGAAGAGAGGACACCCAAGATGGTCAGGAAAAACATGAAAAACCCTGAGCCCCAGCTCAGCTGCCAGACCCCAGGGGGCAAGAGAATGACTGAGAACTGTCCCTGTGACCATGGGACCATGAGCAACCAGCACAGGCCTCTTCTCCCAAGGGGCATGAGAGATTTACCCTGCGCACCTCCAGGAAGGACAGTTTCCTCTGGGACACCCAGGTCCTCAATGTCCATCCTTGGAGGCTGCAGCCAAGTTAGACGCAATCAGAGAAAGGAAGGGTCCCTCTCACCAGCCAACACTCAGCTGACCCACAGCACAGTCGGGCGTCCCTGTGACAGGGACCTGGTGCAGCCCCAGGCCCCTGCACTGAAGGGAAGACCCAGGTAGGGATGAGAGAGGGCAAAGGGTGTGAATGTGCATCCCGACCCTGAGCCATGGGGACAGCAGGAGGCTGAGGCTCAGGACTGTGCTTGCCCAACTTTTAGGGTATGTGTGTGACTGTGTGTGTGTGTGTGTGTGTGTGTGTGTGTTTCTGCACATGGTGTGTGTAGAGGTGGGTGAGAGAATCACTGCTGAAGGAGGCAGAGCAGTTCCCAGGGGCCGGAAACACAGAGAAAAGGAAAAAGAGAAGGAGGGAAAACGGAGGCAGGACCGAGGGGAGGGGACGAGAGGTGTCCTGGGTACAGACCCCGCCCATGAGACTAAGAAGTGCTCCTGCCCTGGGAAGAGGCTCAGTGCAGAAGGAGGAAGGAGAGCAGAACTGGCAGCCGTGATCTGAGGAGGACACGGAGGCAGCAGAGACCATGGTGTTCCCCTCAGCACCTCCCTGCACACAGCCCATCACCTGGCAGGGGTTCCTGCTCACAGGTGAGGAGAGAACTTCCTGGGAGAGGACAGGAGGAGGAAGTGCAGTTACTGGCTGGGGTCTCCTGGGGAGGACGGGGCTCTACAAAAGAAAGAAGGCTCTGTTGGAGTCTAGATAGGGGGAAAATACACCAGAAAGGGACAGAGGTCAAAACAGGAAAATCTCAGTGAACTGGAATTGGGAAGAGGCAGGAAAATCTCAAGTGTTCTCTTTTCCTGGTTAATTATCACTGGCCACTACATTTTGTAAAATAAGAACTATATCAGATGACACTTAAAATAAAAACATAAGCAGGGCATGAAACAGTGTCCTCAGCCAAAAACCTCCACAGTTGGAAAAGAAAAAAAAACACCACCAGGATGTGGAGGGCTCTGGGAATTCTCACATCCACAGGAGTCTGCAGTCTTTCCCAGGTATTAGCGTGCAGCCAAGACCACAAGCGTCTGTCCTCATGGAGCTCACGCTCATGGGGAGGAAGACAAACACGCAAAGAGATCTAGAGTGTGAGGTCAGGTGTTGACAAGAGCCCTGGAGGGAGCAGAGCAGGGAAAGGTCAGAAAGGGAAGACCCAGGGTCTCGGGAGGAGGTGTCAAGAAAGAAGGCTTCTAAGGGTGCCCTGATGTGAGCATGATCTGAGGGCGGTGGGGAGGGAGCCAGGCAGCCGTGAGGGAAGAGGATTCCAAACAGCAAAAAGGCCAAGGTCAGAAGTGTTGAAGGAATGGGGGTCATGTTGCTGACCTTGACCCAGTAAACAAAAGGTGTATGTGTGTGTCTCTTCAATGCTGAGGATTAAAGAGACCCTCTCAGGACCCAGAGCCCCATCTTTTCACCCCAATATATAGGTCTCCATATTGACAGATGCTCTCTCTACCTCCTAGCATCACTTTTAAACTTCTGGAGCCCACCCACCACTGCCCAAGTCATGATTGAAGCCCAGCCACACGTTGTTTCAGAGGGGAAGGATGTTCTTCTGCTTGTCCACAATTTGCCCCAGAATTCTATTGGCTACAGCTGGTTCAGAGGGAAAATTAAGGACATCAACTATTACATTACAGCTTATTTAATAGAAACTGACATAACTATATTTGGGCCTGCATACACTGGACGAGAAACGATATATCCCAATGCATCCCTGCTGATCGAGACGGTCACCCAAAATGACGCAGGACCCTACACCCTGCAAGTCATCACGCAAGGTGATAGGAATAATGGAGAAACTGAACATTTCACCTTACACCGTAAGTGATTCCACAGGATCCCTGGGTGGTGTCGAGTTGCGGGGTAGTCACTTCTACTTTGCACACATAGGATTGTCAGACCTGGACTGTCTGTGTCCCTCTCTGCATTATGTCCCAATTTGGGGTTTGGGCATTTAGCACAGGACACACACAGGGGAGACAAACTTCGACAGATCAGAAGTCCTTTACCGCATCCAGACCCTGCAGACATTCACTGCAGAGGAAGGACAGTCTGACAGCGGGGTCTCAGCGAGAGATCACTCTCAGCCAAGCACCCCATGCCCTCTCCATAAACCTGACCCTGAGGAAGACCCTGGAGAATGGAGTAGGGCTTGGCCTGAGGGGTCCCCTGGGATACTCTCAGAGAAGCTCAGCCCTAGAAGCCCCAACCCCAGACCCCTATCTCAAAAGCCTTACTCCAGATAAAGCTGAGGAGCCTGTGTGAGGGCTGGGTCATGGCTTCCTGGGCAGGGCTTACTGCGAGCAAGGATTTACCAGCTGTCTGAGGACGGTGGCTCCTGGAGCTGCTCACCAGCCAGGGCTCAGCCCTCAGAGCCTCATCTGGGCAAGGACAGAACCTTCTTCACCTGATACTGAGAGTAGAGAGGACAGAAAGACAAGCTTTGTGGGCCATCGGCCAACTACCTTGGGAGGTTTGGGACGCTCCATAGAAAGTCCAGTGTCCCCAGAAGCAGAAACAGAAGACAGAAGAGGTACCTGGCAGCAGCTTGTCCACAGGGATCTAACCTAAAGGTACTCTCTCATGGAGGCAAGTCATAATAAATGCTGTTTATTATTTATTTATAAATTTAATATTATTTATAAATGCTGTGCCAAGCGTTAGGTCAGGTGAGTAATTTAAAGTGGATTTACAGAGAGCATGAAAAGCCACACACTTTGATGGAGACAAAACTGAGGCACAGGAAGGCACAGCCACGGAACCAGAGTCACACAAACACCAAGGGCAGGTCAGAGTCCCGTGACGTCTGTCTGCAGCCACAGGCCCATCCTCTCCACCGGAAGTGAGGGCTTACTGGGGTCTCAGGACCCCACAGTCATTTACTGGCTCAAATCCCTTCTTAGGCATCCAAACCTCAGAGAAGTGAGAGCAAATGGACAGCTGCTTAGTTTGTACTCGAGAACTAAATCGCCTGCCTCAACTGTCAGAGTCAGGGCAAAAACGGTCCAGGCCTCCCCCTTAGATCTTAACCTCCATCACTGAATCTAAAATCCTGTGTTTTCCAAAGTGGTGACGTCACTCTCGTGAGAGGACACAGGAGAGGCCTTTATTTTCTTTCCCCACTCACACCCTGCACCAGCACAGGCCCAGCGAGAGACACATACTCAGGAGTTCTCACATCAAAAATGAAGGAATTGGCTGGCACGGTGGCTCACGCCTGTAATCCCAGGGAGATTTGGGAGGCTGACGCGGGCAGATCATGAGGTCAAAAGATCAAGATCATCCTGGCCAACATGATGAAACCCAGTCTCTACTAAAAATACAAAAATTAGCTGGGCGTGATGGCACGCGCCTGTAGTCCCAGGTACTCGGGAGGCTGTGGCAGGAGAATTCCTTGAACCCAGGAGGCAGAGGTTTCAGTGAGCTGAAATCGAGCCACTGCACTCCAGCCTGGAGCCTGGTGACAGAGCAAGACTCTGTCTCAAAGAAAAAAAAGAAAGAAAGAAGGAATTGAATGAAGGAATGAATGATCTGTAACATCTTTAGAGACTGGATCCTGGATTCAGAATCCTAAGATGTTCTAGCCACACCTGTTCCTTGTGCTTCAGAGGCTGATGCCCATGTTTCATCCCCCCTCTACCTCTTGCCCCTAAAGCTACCCCACCTCATGTGACTTTGAAGCTCCTTGGCCACTGGAAGGTTTTCAGGGCTCCCTGGTCCTGGACTGTGGCACTGGGGGCACCTGGTCCCTTGGGTCTCTGAGGTCACCATAGCCCCCTCTGCTCACTGCCATGGTGTCTCTGGCTCTCTCTGCTCCTCCGTGTCCCTCATCTTCCCCCCACTTCATTATAACTGGCAAGGTGTGTCCTGCACAGTTTCCTCCACCTTAGGACTTCTCCAGACTTTCCCTCTAACTAGGCTGACGATTCTGTTCCCTTCCCCCTCAGTGTGCCCTGGCCCACCTCCCAGGAATTAGGAAAAGCACAGAAATCAGCTGGAGTTGCCGCTCCTGCCAGGATATCTCGAGCCCATGTCCCCAGGTCACTAAGAGAATGAGCTTTCACTGTGTCCCCATCCAGGGCTCTTTCCCTGTGTGAGGCCGACCTGTGGCAAAGACCATGGGACAGGGATGGGCAGTACCTCCATCCACTCCTGTAACTGCCAGACAAGTTCTTCTGGCCTCCTGCACAAACAATACCAATTTATAGAGATAGTGATTTGCATAAAGGAAGATTTTAATGACTACAAATCTGCCGAACAGGAGGACAGAGGTTTATTACTTCTCAAGTCAGCCTCCCCAGGGGATCAAGAGTTAGAGTTTCAAGGAGTTGGTTGGGCGCAATGGCTCATGCCTGTAATTCCAGCACTTTGGGAGGCCGAGGCAGGCAGATCACGAGGTCAGGAGATCGAGACCAGCCTGGCTAAAACGGTGAAACCCTGTCTCTACAAAAAATACAAAAAAATTAGCAGGGCATAGTGGCACATGCCTGTAGTCCCAGATATTCAGGAGGCTGAGGCAGGAGAATCACTTGAATCCAGGAGGCGGAGGCTGCAGTGAGCTGAGATTGCGCCACTGCACTGCAGCCTGGGTGACAGAGCAAGACTCTGTCTCAAAAAAAAAAAAAAATGATTTTCAAGGAGTTTCAGGGACACAGAACTAAAAAATAAGTACTGCTAATTGATTGAGAATGGAATCATGCTGGTGGGGAGAAATGATCTGTCTTTGTGGAATTCGCCTCTAGGTGGGTACCACATGAATGGATGAGCCATTAGTCATGGGTACGGATGATGTCAGCTGGTTGCCAGAATGCAAAATCTCAGGAAAACCTCCAAAGACCAATCTCAGGTTCTACAATAGTGATGTTATCTACAGGAGCAATTCGTCACACATTTTGTAAACTCCGGCCTAATGACATTGGAACAGTAAGGGATTATAGACTGTGCCTACATTTTAGCAGAATTCAGGCTGTTCCTATAATCTTAATCTCATGCTCTTTCATTAGTTTTACAAAGGCAGTCCCTGGGCAATAAGGGAATTAGTTTCACGAAGGAACTATTATCACTCTTACTTCAAAGTTAAACCATAAACTAAATTCCGCCCATGGTTAGCCTGGCCTATGCCCAGGAATGAGTGAGGACAGCCAGCCTGAGGCTAGACACCGGATGGAGTCGGCCATCGAGTTTGCTCTCACTGTTGTAATCTTTGCACTGACTCACCAGGGTGTCACAGGCTGGACAAGCCTGCAGTCCCCAAACCCCATGGGCTTATTTCACCCACGTCACTTGTGATTCCGTCCTCAACCTGCTGTGGAACTCACATCCTCCAGTCACTTCCTAGAGGCTTCTGGTTTCCTGTCAGGCATATAACAAGCTGGAGATTTGTCATTCAGATCTAACAGCAAGTAAAAAGCTGAACAAACTCAAAAATCAACAACTCTTCAAAATCCCTCAGAGATGTGAGGTCTCAGTGCCAACTGACCCACATATTGGAGAGAGTGACAGGCAAAGACAGATCAGCAACCTCATCTGAGCAGAAACCCAGGCACAGAAACCCCCGTGGGAACCAGTGCTGGGGACAGAGAACCTGAACTGCAACTGGTGAGTTGCCAAAGAATCAGTGCAGACAAGACCCAGAGGGAAACACTCGAGGGGATGGACCACGCTTGACAACACAGGCACTTTTTGTGACTCTTAGCTTCTGGGGCTCTACCAGGTTTTTGCAGTGAATATTCAGTAGAAATCTCCTCATCCTTTCTGTGGGGGGAGGGTAAAGGAACAACTTGAAGATATGCCAGAGAATTCTATTCTTCTTAATAAGACCTGTCTTTAAGGGAAACTATTTTACCACAGCCTAATCAGCCAGGGTCTTGTCAGAGCCTAAATGGCCTGTAGGAGAGAAAATATCCAACTGCAAATTCTTCTAGCCATTATGTCTCACCTAAAATGAGGAAAAACTGAGAGCCTTCGGGTTTTTGTGTCCTGGGCTGTGAACATCACAAGTGCCCCTTGTGACGTTCACAGCCCAGGGGCACTCGTGACGTTCACAGCCCAGGACACAGACCTCATCCAGGACCACAGAACCCTTCCCTCTCCACACTCACCACCACATCACTGAACGCCTGCTCCCTCAAGTCCCTTTACCCAGTATATCATGTCTGACTTTCAACAAATCATACAAGACAGACTATGGCCAAATATATATATATGCAATTTGAAAGAGCAAGGATCAGAACAAAACACAGATGTGACAGATGTGTTGAAATTATCAGACTGGGAACCTTTTTTTTTTTCTGAGATGGAGTTCTTGCTCTTGTTGCCCAGGCTGGAGTGCAGTGGTACGATCTCAGCTCACTGCAACCTCTGCCTCCCGGGTTCAAGCAATTCTCATGCCTCAGCCTCCCGAGTAACTGAGATTGCAGGCTCCCACAACCATGCCTGGCTAATTTTGTATTTTTAGTAGAGATGGGGTTTCTCCATGTTGGTCAAGTTGGTCTCAAACTCCCAACCTCAGGTGATCTGCCTGCCTCGGCCTCCCAAAGTGCTGGGATTACAGGTGTGAGCCACCGCACCCAGCCCACATTGCGAATTTAAAAGAAATGTGATTAAGGGTCATAATTTAAAAAGTAGATACCATGCAGGAACAGATAAATAATGTAAGCAGATAGATGAATATTCTAAGAAAGAATCAACAGAAATGCTAGAGATAAAAAATACTGTTACAAAAATGAAGAATGCCTTTCTTACTGATAGACTGGACACAGCTGAGGAAAGAATCCCTAGCTGGAGGACGTGTCAACAGGAACGTCCAAAACTGAAACAGGAAAGTTCAAAAAGGGTGGGGAAAAAAGCAGAACAACATATTCAACTACATGATTAATATTTTGTACTGAAAATAGCAATTTTTAAAGTTTATAGCTGTGGTCCACCACAAAGTGTGTAACATACATGTAATGGGAGTACTGGTGGTTTGGGGGACCAGTTGGAGGTGGCCAGGTGGGTGCTATCTGATGGTTTTACTGTCTGTTCCACATACACCTGTTCCCTCATGAGGATGCCATTTTCAGAAGTTGGGGTTCTTCATGTGGAGAGACACACGAGCCACTGGCATCTCACTTAGACTCTTCCTAATTAACATGAACTTAAACTCTAGTTGTGTTTCCTGAGGTTAAGAGAAAATGAAGAAAGCATTTCACATACCTGTTTTGAGCTCCTCCCTGTTTTCCCTGACTCTGCACAGAAATTAGAAGAGAGAGCTCTTTCTGTATTTACTAACATAACACACATCACTTCTCTTAATTTGGCATCATTCCTCCCTTTATGTAACTGACACACCTAAGACTCTCTCTCTCACCAGTTCTGTCCTTTCACTGGGACTCTCTACTTAGTGAGTGGCTCATTTCAAATCACCTTCAGCTTCTTCCATTGAGCATAGTGTGATCCTGCTGGAATTCACAACACTCCTAAACCTTATTTTGGTATCAAGAGAAATACCACTGCCAGCAATTGATCTTAGATGTTTGGACCATCAGTAAAAATTCCCACTGACGAAAACATTTTCATGTTGCCACCAAATATTTTTTGTTACTAGAGTCAGAACATAACATGAGGTCTGAACTCGTGACAACTTTTTACAGTATTACAAATTGAGCATCCAAAATCTGAAATGCCCCCAAATCCAACACTTCCGACCACTTCCGTGATGCAAAAAAGAAGTGCTCACCGGAGCATTTTGGATTTAACCCTTTTCAGATTTTGGAGGCTAAACCATTAAGTACACTGCAGACATTACAAAATCAAACCAAGTTAGAAATCCAAAACACTTCTGGTTTTAGGCTTTCTGCATAAGGAATGCTTTATTCGTATAAACTATAGGCATGAAGCTGTACAGCAGATCTCTAAAACCTCCTCATCCTGCATAACTGAAACTGCACACCCATGGAACATGCCCTATTCCCCTGACCCCAGCTCCTGGCAACTACCATTCTCTTCTCTGCCTCACTCTGAAATCCACTGACATGAGGTCCATAGAGTAGTCAAAATCATGGAATCACAGAGTAGAATGTCTAATGAGACAAAGTATCTGCAAGACTTCTTCCCAAATTTTGGTCTCATGTCCGTCAAACACATATGATCCATGAAGTCCAGCTTTCCGGCACTTCACGCTCCCCCTTTCCACCAGTCAGTTCTGCATTTGCAAACATCCACATGTATTTCTAGAAAGATCCACAGGGTCCTCACCTTCCCTCTACAGGGGGAAAGAGAACATCCTGGACCCAGAACAGGGTACATAGTCTTGCTCCAAAGCTACCAGCTCTTGCCTGTCCCCTTCACTCTTTCTAGATCATTCCTTGGACTCTGCTCTATCTTTAGAGTCACTGGCTCAAGTCAGTCACTACCAAACTCCTGGGGAAACTGCCCCACCTTGTGCCTCCACTGCCTGATGGCTGAACTGACCTCCAGGCTTGCCCCTGGCCTCCCCTGTGTTACTTCTGCTGAAGTACCCAGTCCCAGGCCATGCTGCCCAGTACCCAAAGGGTATCCAAAGGACAATGGTAAGTTCCATCATCATCCATCTCTAGGATGTCCTTGGAAAGGGAAGCTGTAGAGAAAACATACCGGGGAGAAAAGTAAAACTGAAACTGAAAAGATTTCAGCAGCTGCATGTTCCAGGTGAGGACCACAAGGTGGGCCAGGCAGGCAGCTGGAGAGGGAAGGACTCAGAGAGGCACCAGGAGCTATGACTCTTGGTCCTGTGTCTTTCCATGACCCAACACTCTGCTCCATTCACACTTGAGAAGGTCTGTACTTCTCCCACATAAAGCAGCAGCCTCACTATCTCTGAGCCCTCAGATTGCCATGCATCTGTCTTATAACACACATACACCTGCCATGGGCTTTTAAGGACTTCAGTAGGCTGAGAGGTGGGAGATGCCAACTGTCACTGAAAAATGCCTTTGGAGGAATCAAAGGTGCCACACAGGGTAATCTTCTCTCTGTTATCTGCACAGTGGAGACTCCCAAGCCCTCCATCACCAGCAGCAAGTCAAAATCCAGGAAGGCTAACGCTGTGACCTTAACCTGTGAACCTGAGATTAAGGACGCAAACTACCTGTGGTGGATAAATGGTGAGAGCCCCCCAAGCAGTAGCAGGCTGCAGCTGTCCAATGACAACAGAACCCTCATTCTATTCAGTGTCACGGAGAAGGATGCGGGAGTCTATGAATGTGAAGTGAAGAACCCAGTGAGTGCCAGCCGCAGTGATCCAGTCATCCTGAAAATCCTTCGTGAGTATCTTCTGTTCCTCTGTGGGCCCAGGCTTCCATCCCAGATACACATGCAGGGGCCAGGCCTCTCAGCTCCAAGTACAGAGACCTTTACCCCTGGACATCGAAGCTGGCCATGATTTTCTGCACTGGGCAAACCAGAGTAGGCTTGGCCTTAATCAACAATGGGAAGGAAGGGGCTGCTCCTGTCACGGGAGGCTCAGGGTCCACAGCTTGTGATGATAGCAACAGTGAGTGTCTCGGGCTCCAGATCAGTGAACACAGCAGGGGCTTGCCTGGGACTTCCGTGTTGTGATTGGTTCACAGGGTCACTGTGGCCCTTCCACAGACCAGGAGCTTCCCCTTCCCCCTGACAGTATCACCTGTGGCTGTATTCTCTCTGCTCCAGATGGCCTGGATGCCCCTACCATTTCTTCTTCATACAGCTATCACCATTCAGGGGAAATCCCCGAGGTCTCCTGCCTCACAGACTCTCATCCGCTGGAAAAACATTCTTGGTTGATTGATGGGAAGTTCCAGCAATCAGCACAAGTGTTCTTTATCCCCAAAATCACTAAAACATACAGAGGGGTCTATAACTGTGTCACCCATAACGCAGACACTGGCGGAACAAATCTCATAATCAAGAGGGTCATAGACCCTGGTAAGTGGATACCTAGAGCACTGGCAGTGTCTCCCAGTGAGGTCTATCTGGATATCAGGAAAGAGCCACCTGCCCTCTGCAAAGGGAGAGGGGACATCAAAAACCCATGACAGGGAATGTTTCTACTCCAAAGCCACCAGTTTTGTCCGTCCACTTCACTCTTTCTAGATGAGTATTTAGAGTATACACTAACAATGAACAATGTGAAAGGAAATTAAGAATTTCAATTGACATTAACATCAAAAACAATAAAATATTGTGAAATAACTTTAACCAGAAAGGTCAAAGGATTCTACTCTGAGAACTACAAAACATTGCTGAAAGAAATGAAAGATGACATCAATAAATGGAAAGACATTTCATTTGTATAGACTTGAAGACTCAATACTGTTAGGAAGACAGTACTACCCACAGTGAGCTGCAGCCTCAACCCAACCCCGACCAGAATCCCAGTAACATTTTCTGCAGAATTAGAAAAATCTGTCTTAAGTCTGACCTGACAGGCTCTTACTAATGACTGCCACAACGAAGACACAGAGAAAGAAGCAACCAGGGTAAGGTGGAAAGTTCTGATGACACAGAAAATAACCATCACCCTTCTCACATCCCAAAGCTTTCAAAAATACACGAGCGCAGCATGGCCAGCAAGGAATTCACCAAAGACTAATCACCAGGCTAGAAACATGGTGAGGGGAAAAAAGGGGGGGTGGGGGAGGAGGAAGAATATATTTGGCAAATCACCTCTCACTTTTTCCTACTAATCTGATGCTGAAAAGAAATGCTCACTGGAGCACTGTGGATCTTGAATCTTTCAGATTTGGGATGCTAAACCAGTAAGTGTATGGCAAATATTTCAGAATCAAAAAAATGTCAGAAATACAAAACCCCTTGTATCCTAAGTCTTATGCATAAGAAATACTCAATCTGTGTGAACTATAGGCATCAAGCTGTACAGCAGATCTCTAGAACCTCCCCATCTCCCATAACTGAAACTGTACCCCCATGAACAACTCCTTATTCTCCCCACTACCAGCTTCTGGCAACCAGCAGTCTCTCCTCTGATTCACTCTGAAATCCACTTACGTGAGGTCCCCAGAGTAGTCAAACCCATGGAATCAGAGAGTAGAATGTCCAATGAAAGAATATATTTGCAAAACTTCTTCCCAAATTTCTGTCTCATATCCATCGAACACACATGGTCCGTGAGGACCAGATTTCCAGCAGTTCATGCTCCCCATTTCCACCAGTCAGCCCTGCATTTGCAAATGTCCACGTGTACTGCTAGAAGGATTTCCATGGTCCTCACTTGCCCTCTGCAGAAGGAGAGGAAACTTCAACAATCCAGGACAGGGAACATGGTTCTGCTCCGAAGTCACCAGCTCTCGCCTGTCCCCTTCACTCTTTCTAGGTCATTCCTTGGACTCTGCTCTATCTTTAGAGGTCACTGGCTCAAGTCAGTCACTATGAAACATCTGGGGAAAACTGCCCCCCCTTGTGCCTCTACTGTCTGATGGCTGAACTGACCTCCAGGCTTGACTCTGGTCTCCACTGGGTTATTTCTGCTGAAACATCCAGTCCTAGGACGTCCTTCAGGGTTTCAGAACAGTGGGAACTCCCATTATTACTTATCTCTAGAATGTACTTGGAAAGGGAAGCTGTAGAGAAAACACATCTAAGGGGGCAAAGTAGGATGGAATTTGGAAGGGACCCAGCAGTCGCACATTCCAGGTAAGGAACCCAAGGTGGGCCAGCCAGTCAGCTGAGTAGGGAAGGACTGGGAGGGGTGCCAGGGGCTGTGACTCCCACTCACATGTCTGTTCATGACCCAACACTGCTGCTCAATCCACACGTGAGAAAGCCTGTGCTTCCCTAAGACAGAGCAGGTGGCCTCACTGTCCTGGAGCCCTTGGATCATCGTACATCTGTCTTGTGACACACATTCCAGCCATTGGCTTTCAAGGACTTGGGTGGGCTGAGAGGTGGGAGATGCAACTCTTATTGAAAGATGCCTGTGGAGGAATCAAAGATGCCACACAGGGCAATCTTCTCTCTGTTATCTCCACGGCAGAGCTGCCCCAAGTCTACATCACCAGCGACAAATTCAATGGTGTGGTGCCCCAAGCCTACATCATCAGTGACAAATTCAATGCTGTGGAACATGTCGATGAGGTAACCTTAACCTGTGTACCTGAAATTGGAAATGCCATCTACCTGTGGTGGGTAAATGGTCAGAGCCTCCCGTTCAGTCCCAGGATGCAATGGTCTGATGACAACAGAATCCTCAATCTAAACAAAGTCACGAGAAATGACACAGGATCCTATGAGTGTGGAATACAGACCTCAGCGGGTCCCATCCGCAGTGACCCAGTCACCCTAAATGTCCTCTGTGAGTATCTTTTGTTCCTCTGTGGGGCAGGCCACCAGCTCAAATCCAAATGGCCAGAGGCCAGGACTCTCAGTCTCTCTCAGGTTCAAGTACAACACCTTTACTTCTGGACACCCGAGCTGGCCATGACTTCCTGCCCTGTGAAAACCTGGGTGGGCACAGTCTTGACCAAGAATATAGGGGGAGGGATGCTCTTGTCATGGGAGACTTGGGTTCACAGCTTGTGATGGGACAAACAGGTGAATACTTCAGGCTTCGGCTCAGTGAACAGAGAGGAGGTTTGGCTGGGACTTCGGGGTGTGTCTTGGCTCAGAGGGACACTGTATCCCTTTAACTGGCCAGGACCATCCCCTTCCCTCGCAGGACATTACCTGTGGCTTTATTCTTTTGCTCCAGATGGCCCAGACTTCCCCAGAATTTCTCCTTCAAAAACCATTTACCGTCAAGGAAGAAACCTCCACCTCTCCTGCTTCGCAGACTCTAACCCGCCGGCAGAGTATCGTTGGATGGTTAACGGGATGCTTCGGCCGAAAGGACAAGAGATCCATGTCCCACAAATCACTACAAGGAACAGAGGGCTCTATGGTTGTTTGGTTCATAACTCAGCCACTGGCAAGAGAAACTTGGTATTCAAGGAAATCAAAGTGGTTGGTAAGTGAGTCCCAGCATCATTGGCAATAGGTTTTTAGATGGAGTCTATCTGGCTTTCAGAGAAAGTCAGGAAAACATGTTTATTCCCAGCCTGTGTCCCGTAGGCACAGGCAAATTTGAAATTCTCCTCCTGAACCCACCCAATTTGTCTCTACAGACACCGTTTTCCTTATTTCTCATGACCGACCTTGTGTCCAGCCTGAGCAAAGTAGGGAGGGGGCTTGTCAGCCCTGAGCCCTATGTGGTGGAAGAGGCTTCACAGAGGGACAAGAAGGAGCATCCTCGAGATCAGTTGCTTCTCGCTGTCACCAACACATCCCTTTCTGTCACGTCTTTGTTTTCTTTTACCTACTTCATGAGCTTCAAGAAACATCTGAGGCTTTGAAACAAGCTCATACTTTTCCCCCACATGAGAGGAGGAAGCCCCTTGGATGAGGGAGGAGCAGCTCAGACTCTGCTCCCTGCTCTGCTCCAGGCTCCTCTGTGACTGGCCCTGCCTGACTGCACCTGGGGTGGGACCAGTGTGTGTGGAGAAAGAGCCCCGGTGGCCTGTTCTGAATGTGGCTAAGTCGAGTTGCCAGTTGAAGCCAAGTGTCCCCTGGGTCAGGCTGCAGGGAAATAAGCAGAGAGGAAGCCTCAGGGAAGACTCCTGAGCTGTGTCCTGGCTCTGACGTCAGTGGCTGTATGAGGCTGTGGGCACAGCACATGGGACACAGCAGAGGACAGTGAGTGATGTACACTCGGAGACATACAGAGATTCACCCATGGGGACTGTGTGTGGCAGGAAAGAGATACATACATATATATACACACACACACACACACACACACACACACATATACTTTATATATAGTCTATATAAACTATATAGTCTATATATAAGTATATATAAAGTCTATATATGTCTACATGTATGTCTATATAGACACATATATACTATATACCCTATATTACATATATATGTAATATATATATACAATATTCTCTAATATATGCTAAATATATACTATAATCTATATACATTATATAGACTATATACATTATATATATAATGTATATATTATATAGACTATATATACCATATGCTATATATACACACAAAGGGTTCATCCGCTTTGCACCATGTATCAGAATTGTATTGCTTGTTAAGACTGAGTAACATTCCATTGCATGGATGTACCTCATTTTCCTGTTCACTTGTTTCAATGGACTTTTCCGTTCTTTCCACCTGTTGACTATTGTGAGATGCTGCTGTGAATATCAGTGTACAAATATCCGTTCACATTTATTTTAACTTTTAGAGTGTTTGTCCAGAGTGGAATTGCTGGATCAAATGGCAATTCTTTGTTTTGGGAAACAGCCATACCATTTTCCACAGAGGTTACAATACGTCACATTCTCAACAGCAATGCACCAGAGTTCCAATTTTTCCACTTACTTGAAAATACTTGTTGCTTGATATTCTTGCATGCTTTTTTTGAATCAAAGCCATCCTAATGTGTGTGGCATGTGGTTTAGATTGTGGTTTAGATTCACATATCTCTAAGTATTAGTGATGCTGAGCATCTATGCGTGTGCTTGTCGGCCATTTGCATATCCTCCCTGGAGAAATCTCTATTTTAGTCTTTTGTTCATATTTCATTGGGTTTTGGGATTTTTTGCTGTTGATATGTATTTCTTTCTATAGTCTGGAAATTAATCCCTTATCAGATACATAATTTGCAAATCATTTTTCCCATTTAATTGGTTGCCTTTTCACTTTCTCAATAATTTTTTATATATAAAAGTTTTTAATTTTCATGAAGTCCAACTTGCCTACTTTATTGCCTCTGTTTTTGCTGTTATAACCAAGAAATCACTGTGAAATCTAATGTCATGAAGCTTTTTCCCTATATTTTATTCCAGCAGTTTTATAGTTTTTGCTCTTCCCTTTCATTCTTTGATCCACTGTGGGATAATTTTTATATATGGTGCTAGGTAAAGGTTCAGCTCATTTCCATCCATGGATATCCAGCTCTCCCAATATCTTTTGTTAACAAGACTATCCTTTCCCCATGCAATGGCCTTGGAATCTTGTCAAAATCACTCGGCTATATAAGCAGGCATTTCTTTGTGGGCTCTCTATTCTATTCTGTTAATTTCTATGTCCTACTTCATGCCAGTCCCACACTGTAGTCACTATTGTGGCTTTGTAGTAAGTGTTGAAATCAGGAAGTGTGAGTACTCTAGCTTTTCTTTTTTTTTTTTTTTTTTTTTTTTTTCAAGATTGTTTGTCTATTTATACTCTTGAGAGTCAATATGAATCTTAGGACAGATTTTTCTATTTCTGCAAAACACGTCACTGGGATTCTGACAGGAATTGCGTTGAACCTGCAGCTCGCTTGGGTAGTGTTGTCCTCCTAGCAATATCGAGTCTTCCCATCCATGAAAATGAAACGTCTTTCCACTTACTGACGTCATCTGTGATTTCTTTCAGCACTGCTTTGTAGACTTTGGGGTACAATTCTTTCAACTTCTCGGTTAAACTTATTCTAAAATATTTATTCTTTTTGATGTTAACGTGAATGGAAAACTTTTCTTACTTTCCCTTCAGATTGTTAATTCTTGGTGTATAGAAACACAACTGATGTTTGCCCGCTGATTCTGTATGCTGCAACTTTACTGAATTTATCCTCACAGTTTTTTCATCTTTAGCATTTTTTACATGTAAGTTCATGTTACCTGTGAACAGAGATTATTTTACTTTTTCTTTCAAATGTATCCTTTTTTTCCTTGACTAATTTCTCTGGCCAGGAACTTCCAATACCACGTTGAATAGAAGTGATGAAAGCATTTCATGCACGTGTGTCTTGTTCCTGATCACATGGGAAACTGCCTGTCCTTCTCCCCTGACTGCGTCAGCACTGGCCTTTTCACACATTGCCTTCATTATGTCGAGGTGGTTTCCTTCCATTCATAGTCAGAATGTTTTTATTATAACTCAATATTGAATTTTGTCAAATGGTTTTATTGGTTCAATTTTATTACTAATTAAAGGTCTGTTCAGATTTTCTTTTCTTCTTTTCTTTTCGAGACGGAGTTTTGCTCTTGTTACCCAGGCTGGAGTGCAATGGCACGATCTCGGCTCACCACAACCTCCGCCTCCTGGGTTCAAGCAATTCTCTTGCCTCAGCCTCCTGAGTAGCTGGGATTACAGGTACGCACCACCGTGCCCAGCTAATTTTTTGTATTTTTAGTAGAGACGGGGTTTCATCATGTTGACCAGGATGGTCTCGATCTCTTGACCTCGTGATCCACCCGCCTCGGCCTCCCAAAGTGCTAGGATTACAGGCATGAGCCACCGCGCCTGGCCTGGTCTGTTCAGATTTTCACGTGTTTCTAGAAATTGATCCATTTTACCTAGGTTATCCAATTTATTGACACCGAATTATGCATAGTACTTTTGCAATTTTATTGCTTTTGAATTGCTAATGTCTCTATTTTCTTTTCTCTTTTTTTTTTTTTTTAAGAGAAAGAGACAAGGTCACGGTCTCACTGTGTAGTCCAGCCCAGGCTGGAGTGCAGTGGCATAATCATGTCTTACTGCAATCTCAACCTTCTGAGCTCAAGAAATACTCCTCCTCCAGCCTCCCGAGTACCTAGTGTATGCCATCGTGCCTGGCTAACTTTTTATAGAAATGTTTTGTAGGGACAGGGTCTTCTTATGCTGTCTAGGCTGGTTTCAAACTCCTGGCCCCAACCCATCTTTTTGCTTTCGCATCTCAAACTGCTGGGATTAAAACATGAGCCCAGGCTCCACTTTCATTTCTGATTCTATTAATTTCATGTTTCTTCCTTTTCTTCTTAGTCAGTCGAGTTAATGGTTGTCAATTTTGTTGATCTCATTGTGAAGAACCGACTTTTGGTTTCATTGATTTTCTCCACTGTTTTTCTATTCTTTATTTTATTTATATCCACTGTAATACTTATTATTTCCTTCATTCACTGTGTTGGGTTTAGGTTCTTCTATATCCTGAGGTTGTAAATTAGGTTGTTGATTTGAGATCCTTTTTATTTCTTAATGTAAGAGTTTACTGTTATAAATTTCTTGCACAAGATTCTTAACCTCTGAGCCTCTGATTCCTCAACTGAAAATTGCAATAAGAGTGCTTGCCTTATACTATTATTATTATTTTTTTGTTTGTTTGTTTTTTGAGATGGAGTTTCGCTCTTGTTACCCAGGCTGGAGTGCAATGGCGTGATCTCGGCTCACCGCAACCTCCGCCTCCTGGGTTCAGGCAATTCTCCTGCCTCAGCCTCCTGAGTAGCTGGGATTACAGGCACACGCCACCACCATGCCCAGCTAATTTTTTGTATTTTTAGTAGAGACGGGGTTTCACCATGTTGACGTGGATGGTCTCAATCTCGACCTCGTGATCCACCCGCCTCGGCCTCCCAAAGTGCTGGGATTACAGGCTTGAGCCACCGTGCCTGGCCATACTATTGTTTTAAAGGTTTAATGTAATTATCAATAAAACCTTCAGCAAAATGGCACGCACAGGAAATGTTTCATACATGTCAGCTGCTGTATTACTATCATTATCATGAGCCTTGAAGTCAGGTGGTCCTAGAATCAAATCTCAGATCCACCTCTCATTAGCCTTGTGACATCAGGAAAGCTTTTTCCTAAGCCTCCATCTTTTTATCTGTAAAATGAAAATAATGTCTACCCAACAGAATTATTGTATGAATCAAATAAGAGACAGGTAAAGAATGTAGTACAGGGCCCGGCACATAGGAGGGGGCCCTCAACACTCGCTAACATAACATTAATCATCAGCCTGAGTTGACTGCTGAGGTCTAAAAGTAAATGGTTGCAACAGAAATAAAGAAACAGACGCGAAAGGTATTGTATGTGTCTGCGTGCATGTGTATCTGTGTACGTGTGTGTGTGTATGGAAATGGTATTTTATGTAAATGCACACACATGAACACAAACACACACAGACATATATATAAAGAGGGAACACTGAAAACACTAGGACATGGTCACTGACTACATGTGGAAGAGAGAAAAAACCGAAGTGTAAAGGATCAAACCTGGTCTGTTAGCTTATAGCCACTGAGATGCATCCAAGATTGGATTAGATATCCAAGACAATTCATTAGGGAAGACACATGTGAGGGAAAGTGGGGCAGGCATGAAAGTAGCCTGACAGAGCCCTCAGACCACGATGCAGAGCTGATTTCTGTGAAGGAGAAAGAGAAAAGTTGCAGGTACCAAGGCAGTTGTAAGAGAGTTACTGCAAGACTGATGGGGAGTCCCCCCAACCAGTCACCCATGAGAGTAAAATGGAGTCTCAGAGAACTAGTCTTGCTTTCGTGCTTCTGCTGGGAGCCTATGGGAGGCAAAGTATCTGTACAAACAAAGTGGTTCATTTGAAATGCACTGATCTGGGCCTTCTGTCAATCAAGTGATATGATTGACAGGGTCTTATACATGGCTGCCATAACAGAGACATGAGTAAAAGATGCAACCACAAAAAGTGAAATGTTCTAATGGTGTAGAAAAAAGCAATTACTCTTCCTGATGTCCCAAAGCCTTCAAAAATATCTGAGTACAGCATG